CTTGATTTGCATCTCTCTTAGAGCTAGGGATTTTGAACATTTTTTCATGTGCTTGTTGGCCGTCTGAATGTCTTCTTTGGTGAAGTGTCTGTTTATAACCTGTGCCCATTTTTCAATTGGATTATTTACCTTTATTTTGTTGTGGTGCTACAGCATATTTTCATGGTTTCTTCTATACTGCTACAAATAGTTTTTAATGATATTTTTAGAAAAACTCAAAGGAATAATTTGTCTTTTTAAATATTGTTGTTGTTATGTGCTATTGAGTCACCAGTGACTCATAGCAACCCTATGTACAACAGCCCTAAACCCTGCTCTATCCTGTGCCAGTCTTATTCTGTCTGCATTACCCCAGCCAGTGCATCAATCCACGTCATTAAGGGTCTTCCTCTCCTGCGTTGTCCCTCCACCCTCCCAAACATGATGTCCCTTCCTTGCAACATGTCCAAAGTATGTCAGACGAAGCCTCAGAATCCTTGCCTCCAAGGAGAGCCTGGTTTAACCCTCTCCAGCATAAACATGTTCATTCTCTTAGCAGTCCACAGTATATTCAACACTCTTCTCCAACATTATAGTTCAAAGGTATCAATTCTTCTTCTATCATCCCTAGTCATTGTCTCGCTCTCTGATGCCTAGCAAGTGATTGCAAAAACCATAGCATGTATCAGGCATACCTTAGTCTCCAGACTGACATCATTGCTCTTCAGTACTTTGGAGAGGACCCTGACAGCAGACTTTCCCAACATAATACGTCTTTCGTTTCCTTGCTGCTAATGCCAAGAGTGTTGATTGTGGAGCCAAGCAAACTAAAGCTGTTTACAATCTCAATCTCTTCACTATCAATCACTGTCAATCAATGCTGCCATTCGGCCCAGTGATGAGAATCTTTGTTTTCTTGATATTGAACTTCAATCCATATTGAAAGCTGCAGTCCTTGACTCTCTGCAGCAAACACTTCAGGTCCTCCTCAGTTTCAGCAAGTAGGGTTGTGTCATCTACATAATGCAGATTGTTGATGAGTTTTCCTCCAATCCTGATGCCACATTTCTCCTCATAGAGCCCAGCCTACTGGATAATCTGTTCTGCATATATATTGAAAAGGTATGGAGATAGGACACATGCTTGGCGTACACCCTTCCCGATTTTAAACCATGTAGTATCATCCAAGAAGAGTGCAAAAGATCATTACAAAGACAGAAGAGGAAGAAAAGATGGACAATGGATGTCAGAAGAGACTCTGAATATTTCACTAGAGCACCAAGAAGCCAAAACAGAGGGAAGAAATCAAGATAGTAAGGAGCTAAACAGAAGATTCCAAAATTTAGCATGGCAAGACAAAGTAAAGTATTATAATGAAATGTGTAAAAGCTGGGGTCAGAAAATCAAAGGGACAAAACTCACTCAGCATTTCTTAAGCTCAAGGACCTGAAGAACAAATTCAAGCCTCAAGTTGCAATACTTAAGGATGATTTGGGCAGAATAGTGAATGATCCAGGAAGTATTAAAGGAAGATGGAAAGAGTATACAGAGTCATTGTACCAAAAGGAATTGGCAGACACTAAAGAATTTCATGAAACAACGTATGAGCAAGAGCCTGTGGTGATGAAGGAGGAAGTTCAAGCTGCTCTGAAAGAATTAACAAAAAACAAGGCACCAGAAATTGATGGTATACCAATTGATAATATTTCAACAAACAGATGCTGCCCTAGATGTGCTCACCAAGTTGTGCCAAGAAATCTGGAAGACAACCACCTGGCCAACTGACTGGAAGAGATCTATATTTGTTCCCATCCCAAAGAAAGGTGATCCAACAGAGTGTGGAAATTATCAAACAATATCAGTAATACCACATGTAAGTAAGATTCTTCTGATGATTATCCACAAACAACTGGAATAGCACATCAACAGAGAACTATCAGAAGTGCAGGCTAATGTCAGATGGATCTTGGCTGAAAGCAGGGAATACCAAAGGAATGTCTATCTCTGTCTCATTGACTATGCAAAGGCATTTGACTGTGTGGACCACAAGAAACTGTGGCTGACTCTGAGAAGAATGGGAATCCCAGAACACTGATCATGCTTATGTGAAACCTATACTTGGACCAGGAGGCAGTCATCAGAACAGAGCAAGGGAACACTATCTGGTTTTAAATATATCGATTTATAAACAGGTTGTACCTGTAAGTTTTGTGAATATTTTTCATTATGTTATTATAAGATTATTTGGTTTTTTTCTGTATACATTCTACAAAATTGGGTAATCCATTAATTTATTGATGTTCCAAAGAAAAAAATATTTTTTACTATTACTAAATAATAACTGGAAACCAAGTTTTTAGCATTTTAGGTGATTTTAAAACAGTTCTTTCCAGAATATCTTTGTTTAGAAGAAGGATAAACAGATTTTTCTACGAAGGTCAGAGAGTAAAAATTTCTGGGCACTAAGATCTTTGTCAAAACAAATCAACACTGCTCTTGGCAGTGCAAATACATAAATGAATGAGGCTGTGTTCCAATTAAACTTTATTTTAGAAAAAACACAACTGGTAACAGGCCAGAGTTTAATGATGCCTGACTTAAAAGATAATATTCACAGCCCACAAGATTCTCATTGCTTAGTTTGAAATCATTTATGTGGTAGGTTTTTTCCCATTTTTAATAGAGTGTTTTCCCATTTGCCACTTGACTAAGTATATCTTTTGCAAATGCAAAAAGTTTTTAAAAGAACATTTTTAACTGTCTTGTAAAAAGAATGTCACTGTGAGAGTTAAGATCATATGTCACCTTGGCTGCCTGCTATTCTTCCGGTTGGCAGTTGTGATGTCATCATTCCGCTGATGTAATACAATCAGTTTCTGAATAATACTTTGCATAAAGTAATCACCTCCATGCTAAAATCTGGTGATCTTATCATAAGCAGTTGAAAGTGGTTTCGGTTCAACCACTCCTGACATCCCCAGGGGGGGTCATGAACAAAGTAGTCATCGTGGCAGAGATGGAGGTCATGCATGGGCTCATTAACATGAACCTCCACTCACCAAGGCCCATTTCGCTACTCCTGAGTGTCCAATCTTCCATAAGCAGAGCCAATGCTGAGTTCCAGTATGCAACCATGCCTTAGGTGATCAGCCAGCAACCTGGTTGCAGATCAATTACATCATAGTGCTTCCATTATGGAAAGGGCATAATTTTGTTCTTACTGGAAAAGATACTCACTCTGGAGATGGATTTACCTTCTCTGCATACAGTGTTCCCGACAAGACTATCCTTGGACTTAACAAATACCTTATTCACCATCATGATATCTCACATTTCATTGTTGTGCCATGGAGTCAAGTACAACTCATAGCAACACTATGAACAAAAGATCTGAACCCAATCCTGTCCTGCACTGTCCTCACACTTCCTGACATTGCCCTTTGCAGCAGTCACCATGTCAATCCACCTATTTGAGTCTTTCTCTTCTTTGCCGACCCTCTACCCTTCCCAACATCATGTCCCTCTCCAAGGAATAGCACCTCCTAGCAACACATCCGAAGTATGTAAAGCAAAGCCTCATCATTCTTGCCTCCAAAGAGCACTCCGACTGCACCCTCTCCAAGACATATCTATTTGTTCTTTTGGCCGTCCATGGGAATGTTCAGTGCTCTTCTCCAACACCACAGTTCAAAGGCGTCAGTTCTTTTTCTGTCATCCTTATTCATTGTCCAGGTCTCGGATGCATAACTAGTAATTGGAAAGACTATGGCCTGAATCAGGTGCACCCCAGTCCTCAAACTGATATCACTACTCCTCAATAATTTGGAGAGGTCCTTAACTGCAGATTTTCACAGTGCAATGTGTCTCCTCATTTCCTGGCTGCTAGTACCAAGAGTGTTAATTGTGGATCCAAGCAAGATGAAGCTGTTGACTTTCCATCTCCTCTCCATCCATCATAACACTGCCTATTTATTGGTCCAGTGGTAAGAATCTTTGTTTTCTTGAGATTGAAATGCAATCCATACTGAAGACTGCATTCCTTGATCTTCTGCAACAAGTGCTTCAAGTCCTTCTCAATCTCAGCAAGTAAGATTGTGCCATCTGCATAATGCAGGTTATTGATGAGTCCCCCTCCAATCCTAATGCCACACTCCTCTTTATAGAGCCCAGCTTCTCAGATAATTTGCTCAACATTATAGATTGAACAGGTTTGGAGAGACATACATATATCCCTGATGAGTTCCCTTCCCAATTCCTCATGAACATAATCAAGTGCTCTGGGATTCCCATTTTTCTCAATGTCAGCCACAACTGGTCATGGTCCACACAGTCAAATGCCTTTACATAGACAATAAAACACAAATAGACATTCTTCTGGTATTCCTTACTTTCATCTGACATCAGCAGTGATATCCCTGGTGCCATGGCCTCTTCTAAATCCCACTTGAACTTCTGGAAATTCCCTATCTATGTACTGTTCCTGCTGGTTTTGAATGATCTTCAGCAGTATTTTGCTTGTGCATGATATCAATGATATTGTTCAATAATTTCCACATTCAGTTGGATCACTCTTCTTGGGAAAAGGAATAAATATGGCCTCTTCTAACCCATGGCCAGACAGCCGTTCTTCAAATTTCCTGGCATAGACTGATAGATGTTTCATTACCTTGAATCAAAGGTCTAACTTTGAGGAAGACCTTCCATGAAATGGATTAACACAGTGACTAAAACTATGGACTCAGGCAAGTTGGAGATGGTGAGGATGGCACAGGAGATGACCAGGTTCAGATCTGTTGTTCTTAGGGTAACAACAACTGAATAGATAGGTAGGTAGGTAGGTAGGTAGGTAGGTAGGTAGATAGATAGATAGATAGATAGATAGATAGATAGACAGACAGACAGACAGACACACACCCAGCGTGAGCCACCTACAATCCCTTGGTGCTTGGTGCTGCACAGGACTACCAGAAGAAGTTCCTGAGGAGGAGGCTTTGAGACTCACTCTTTGGTTTCCATCACAGATATTGAGGGATGCCACAACAACAATGGCGGCTGCAGCCATTCTTGCCTTGTTCTCCAGAAGGGCTACCAGTGTGAGTGTCCCCGGGGGTTGGTGCTGTCTGAGGACAACCACACTTGCCAAGGTAAGTCGAGGCACACCCTCTACTCTGCAGCCTAGCAAGTTTCTCATCCTTTCAAATGCCAGCTCTTTGAGCAGAATTATTTCCCTGGAATCATTTTACAAAGAGAAGATCTTGAAGAAAGGATCTTCAAAAAGCCAATTGCTCTTTGCTTTTTATCTTTTCTTTTCCTCAACATTTTAATATGAATTGTGCAGTTCTCAATTTGGAAGAATAAGGCATTGATGCAATTCTATAATCAATGTCCTCTCTTTCCAAAGAGATAGTTGAGCTGGAAAACTAAGTAGAAAGTCTAGGGAACAAATTCTTCTCCCTGCACTTAAAATATAGGCTTCAGTGATCCTCCTCTGAGAATGATTTTCTGGAAATCTCATTCTTGCCATCCAGAACATTAATTCATTTATCTGGCAAATATTTAATAAGCACCTAGCTTTGATTTCCTTATACTATACCATTGTTATGACTTGTCCCCACCTAGTGGATTCTACCAATCTGCCTAAATGTTCCATTTTGGATATTTGTAGAGCCTGGAGAAATGAACACGGAACACTCAGGAAAAGCAATCTTTTTTATGTTAGGTTAAAGTGGGATTTATAGTCAAAGTTATTGCTTAACTGAGCAGTGCAAGGACAATTTGGAAACCTTCCCTATGCACGGACATTGCTTTTATTACCTCTGTTTTATGGGGCAATCAACGTGGAGTCAAAGCAGTGCCGTTATATAGCTTAAGCCTGTCAACACAATATTTTCTCTATTGCCAATAAATTGCATTTGTGCTGACACCTAATCCTTTAGGTGCTTCAGTTCATGGAGGTATGCTAGCCACAGCTTTGAAAGAAATGCTTTACTGAATTGAAACTTAAAAATACTATTTCCCAAATTGGGAAACAGCATGTTTGAAGAGCACTGTTTGACCACAGTCATGGGAGTCAGAAGTCTTGGTTTGATTCACTAACTTGTTTTGAGCCCTGCAGATTTCCTTGAGGATAGAGCAGACCGCTGAAGTGGCATGAGGATGAAGCACTTCTCCCGGCCAACTTTCCCAGTTCTAACAGGATTCCCTCTTCACCACAGTCCCTGTGTTGTGCAAGTCGAACACCATAGAAGTGAACATCCCTCGGGACTTGGTGGGTGGCCTGGAGCTCTTCCTGACCAACAGTTCCTGCCGAGGAGTGTCCAACGGCACCCATGTCAACATCCTCTTCTCCCTCAAGACATGCGGCACGGTGGTAGATGTAGGTTCCCCCTGCAGGGCACATGGGGAATGACCAGAAGCCAGTTGTGGGGAGGGTGGGATAGTTTACAAATATGTGGTCTGACTTCGGTCATAGAGGAAATATTCCCACATGAAGCATAGAGCTAAGAATATCTTAGATCATTCATTTGGCAGTGATCTAACAACAACAGGTCTACCACTGTCCTGGGTGGTGCAAAGCTTAAGCATGCAGCTACAGACAGAAAAATGGTCAGCTCATTCTCACCTAAAGGTGACTCAGAAGAGAGCCCTGGTGATCCACTTCTGTGAGGTCCAAGCTGTAAAAAGGCTGTGGCAGTGAACACATGGAGTCAGCCAACTGTGATGACAAAGGCTTGTGTTTCCTTTTGTTTTGTTTACTGTGGTCTTGCCCCTGTGAGGAGAGGGGATGATGGAGGATTTTCTTCCTGTTCCTATCTCAAACAGCCCGGTCTCCCAAATGCGTGAGGCCATCCACCCAAATGTATCAGTGCTGGTGTTATCGGAAGGCTGGCTGCATCCCCTCTGAAAAATGGTCTTGCTTCATTTTTATAATATAATAATGCAGGTGTCTGTTCATTTATGACATAAAGAAGGCATCCATGTTGTAAACAAGTTTGAGATAAGAGTTTTATACTTTCATACAAAAATCAGCCTCCAGCCCTGTATTAGCATGTCTGTGAGGTCTATAAAATATGACTCTTACCTTGTAGGAAGGGAGCTCTGATGGCTTAGTGGTAGAGAATTGTGCTTCCAACCCAGAGGTACACAATTCGAATCCACCAGTTGCTCTGAAGGAAAAAGACGGACAGTCTCCTCCTGTACAATCTATAGATTCTGAAAACCTGTTCGAGAGTCAGCTCTGGGTCAGTTCTGACTCAATGGTACTCAACAACAACCACAGCCTTGTAGGAAACTTGAACAGTAACAATGAGACGGCAACACATTTAAAATAGGAAAACTAAAGGGAGAAACACTGGCATAGTCAAATAAGATGGGACTTGAATTGGATTTGAGTTTGCATGTGGTTTACACAAAGAGAAAGGAAAAGAGGGCATTTCAAGTTGGGAAACAGGTGAGCTGAACCTCTGAGATGGGATTACTTCAGGATTGAAGCCAATTCCTGGGGGCTGGCAGAGACTGTATAACAATGAAATAACATTTTTCCCCAAGAGAAAAATGAACTGTGGAGGAGGGGAGACAGGGAGGAAAATGTGCAACAATGAATGAATGGAAATTCAAGTTCTTTCTAAACTTACAATAAAATATCAATTAAAAAAATTAAAAAATTAATTAAAAAAAATAACAGTTGCCAAGTCATGGTAACCCATGCATGTCAGGGTAGAATTACACTCTGTAGAGTCTTCAGTGGCTGGCATTTTGGTAGAAGATAGATAAGCCTTTCTTCTGAGGCACTTCAGGTTAGACTCAACCTTTCAGTCAACTTTAACATGTGAACCATTTGCACCGTGCAGGGGCTTCAGAGGCAAATGGGCAAGGTAGCCTGATTGACAAGGAATTCATATGAGAAGGTGAAAATGGAAAAGTGCATAGGGATAGACTCAGCTTCTAAAGATCCGCCTGGTACCAGGGTGAGAAGACTGGGCTCTGTCCTATAGAAGTGAGATCAGCAGGAAATCATGGATATGCAAGATGGAGAGAGGAAAAAAAAGGCCAGATGCAGGAAATCAGTTCAAAGACTATTGCAACCATCTGATCAAACAAATATTTACTGACTGGTGGTGCTGTTGTTGTTCTGTGTCTTCAAGTCGCTTGCGACTCATATCAACCCTGTGTACAATAGCTCTGAACCCTTCTCTATACTGTGCCAACTTTATTGTCTCTGTCACACCCACCTCCATTACCCCAGTCACTGAGTCAATCCATCTCATCCAGGGTCTTTCTCTCTTGCGCTGTCCTTCCACCCTCCCAAGCATGATGTCCCTCTCCAAGGAGCTGTCCCTCCTTACTACATGTCCAAAGTATGTTAGACGAAACCCCAGAATCCTTGCCTCCAAGGAGCAGCCTGGTTTTACCCTATCTAGGATGAACCTGTTTGTTCTCCTGGCAGTCCATAGTATATTCAATACTCTTCTCCAACAGCACAGCTCAAAGGCATCAATTCTCCTTCTATCATCCCTAATCATTGTCCAGCTTTGATTCATAGCAAGTGATTGTGAAGACTATGGCCTGGATCAGGCGCACCTTAGTCTCCAGACTAACATCACTGCTCTTTGGTACTCTGGACTGGTCCCTAACAGCAGACTTTTCCAATGCAATTCCTCTTATGTTTTCTTGGCTGATGATGCTGAGTCCTACTAAGTGGGAGACAGAGCTTATTAGGATTAACAGCCTTGCTCGCACAAAGATTAAGTTCTCGGCTGTTAACCAAAAGGCAATGCAAAGCCAGCAGTGGCTCCATGACAAAGACCTCAGATCTGCTCCCACGGAGAAGCGCCCTGGGAAGTGCTCTGGGCCCTGTGCTGTGGCCTGTGGTGTCGCTGTGCCTCCGAGTGGACTCAGTGACACAATAACTACATGTGGGGTGAGACACAGGGAGATGCTGGGGGAGAGGGCAATCCCACCTAGACAGATTCTAATTAGGCACATGGTTCAAATCCACCAGCTGCTCCACCTGGGCAGTCTCTGAAAATTCACTGGAGGGAGAGCTATGGGTCAGTTCAGAGGCAGTAAATTACACAAGAGGATTGCCCATCCTTCTTCCAAGGAGCAGCTGGTGAATTCCAGGTTGATGGTACACAACAATAAAGAAAGGTTTGTTAAAACCAGTTGCCATCAAGTCAGTCCTGACCTGTGGGAGCCCCACATATGTCAGAGTACAGCTGTGCTCCTGGCGTTTGTCAGAAGGAAATTGCCAGGCCTTTCTTCTGAGGCATGTCTGGGTGTGCTAAAACATCCATCCTTTCCGCCACCACCTGGAGACGTCTCACTTTGGAACTACGCATAACACTCCTTCCCTTTCTTGCCCCGGCCTGGTGCAGGTGGTGAACGACAAGATCGTGGCCAGCAACCTTGTGACGGGCCTGCCCAAGCAGACCCCCGGGAGCAGCGGGGACATCATCATCCGAACCAGCGAACTGCTGATCCCTGTAACCTGCGAGTTCCCACGCCTCTACACCATTTCTGAGGGCTATGTCCCCAACCTCCGGAACGCCCCGCTTGAAATCCTGAGCCGCAACCATGGCATCTTCCCCTTCACCCTCGAGATCTTCAAGGACAATGAGTTTGAAGAGCCCTACCGGGAAGCTTTGCCGAGCCTCAAGCTCAGGGACTCCCTGTACTTCGGCATTGAGCCCCTGGTGCACGTGAATGGCCTGGAAAGCCTGGTGGAGAGCTGCTTCGCCACCCCCACGTCCAAGATCGACGAGATCCTGAAGTACTACCTGATCCGGGACGGGTAATTACTGACCCTTGCGCTGAATCCACACCCAGCAGAGCTCACCAGCACAGGCAGTCTACACCGCGTGCTTGCAAGCTCTGTATGGGGCCAGAAACCATCTCTTGACATTCTGGTGAGAGGGGTGGGGTTATAAAAAAATGATGATGCCTACATATCAACTGACTAGATATCATTAACCAAGATGGAAAGATGAGGGGAGTAGACAAGCAGATGAGGTCAAAATACTGAGTTTGATAATTCGAAATAATGCTGTTATGTGCCATCGAGTCGTTTTTGCGACTCATAGCGACCCTATGTACAACAGCCCTAAACCCTGCTCTATCCTGTGCCAGTCGCACTGCCTCTGACACACCCATCCCAAATTATCCCAGTCACTGAATCAATCCACCTCATAGAGGGTCTTCCCCTCCTGCGCTGTCCCGCCACCCTCCCAAGCATGATGTCCCTCTCCAAGTACCTGTCCCTCCTTACAACATGTCCAAAGTATGTCAGACGAAGCCACAGGATCCTTGCCTCCAAGGAGCAGCCTGGTTTAACCCTCTCCAGGATGAATCTGTTTGTTTTCTTGGCAGTCCATTTGATTGATTGCCAAATAATGCTACTGAATTTAAAATGCTGGCAGGATAGAAGTGCCATGTGCAGTCAGCAATGCCTTGTCAGTAAGAACCAGGACACAGGGTGGGGCAAGAGAGAGAGAACAGAGATGTGTCTGTCAATAGCAGGAGCAATAGGCTTGACTAACCTGCTCAGAGAGAGATGTTAGCTTCTGTCCAGTCATCCCTCCACCCTCCAAGTGACCCTCTCTATCCTGCACTTTACCACAGTCAGTGCAGATGAGTCCCCTGTAGCTTTCCAGAACTCAGTCACCTGACTTTCCTTCTGGTTCATTTTAGTCTGGAAGTTCCACTTGAACCTGATCATCACCGTGGAAACAGGATTATAGCTGTGTTTAAGACAGTCTCCCGCGTGTGAATTCTAACACTGAGTTGGCTTGCAGCATGGCCATAGGGCTTCTTCCTCTCTTATTTGCCTAGAAGCACATGGGCAGTGAGGACTTGGAAGCAGCAGATGTAGATGCCTCTTTGGGGAAGTTAGGTTGTGAAGGAGACAGAAGAAATACATGGTAGAATGTAGGAAAAGAAAGATCAAGGGGCATAATTTTAAATGTTTGCTTGACTTATGCAAAGGAGACCCCCTTAATACCAAGGTTTCTATGAAATTTCCTAACAGTCCTTGGAATGGGAATCATAGGTGTTTTAAGGGATCGTTGGAAACCTAGTAGCGTTCACATTCACTTTGTCAAGTTCAAGGAAAATTACCTTCAAACCCAAAGCTTGGAGTGGTATCTCATCAATCTCTTTCTTGTTCTAATACCAGGTGGCACAGGGTCTCCTATAGGTCAAGGAACTACCTTAATAAAAGGGGAAGTGGTCTTGTAAGAGTAGCCCTGGCCTGCCTTGGATGCTTGCCCTTTGCTGGTTGATCTAAGAAGCAATTTAATGTTTCCACTCTGCTTTCACTCCTCCAGGCCTCTGCACACAGCAGTCTTCATTGCTGCTATTAACCTCTTTCAGACATTTCTAACCTTTGATGTACATTGTTGTTGTTGTTGTTGTTGTTGATTGCCGCTGAGTCAAGCACGGCTCATAGCAACCCTACGAACAGAAGACCTGAACCCTGTTCTGTAACTATTGTCATTTCTCAAAGTTAATAGTTTCCAGAGGCATGTTGTTTAGGAAGTAGATGCCACTTCTGCATTAGACTCTTTAAAAAGAAACAAGGGAGAAAAAATGGCTGCAGTTCTCCAAGCTCATTCCTCCTACTTCCTCCTTGTTACCTGAATCCCAGCCCTCATTATCTTTTGTCTGAACAGCTTTCAAACCAAAACCTCATTGCCGTCAAATCCATGGCAACTCCTCTTGACCCTGTAGGATGGAGCAGAACTGCCCCATAGGATTTCCAGGATTTTCAAGGCTGCAGATCTTTATGGAAGCTGATGCCACATCCAACTCCTGTAGCATGACTGAAGAGTTCGAACCACTGACCTTGAGCAAGAGCTGAGTACGTCCCCACTGTGCCACCAGGGTTCCTTCAGGCTCCTAAATACTAGCCCTCAAATCTCTTCTCCACAGAAACCCCTGGAAATTCCTTAAAGAGGAAAATAGACTTTTGACACATCCTAGTTCCTGCCTAAAACTTTTCCACAGCTCTGTATTTCCTCTTATTGGTAAATGGAACCCTTTGCCAGCAAGAGTACGTCCAGCCTCAGCTTCGGTAGCCTCGTCAGCTCAGTCCATAATATGGAAAATCTGTCATGCTGAACTGCGTGGATGGCCTTGCAGGGCCTCAGAGGGTCTTGCCAGGCCGTGTGGGCTTCTCGCCACCTTAACGTGATCTCCAGAAAGCTCGAAAATGAGTACCAGACACATCATTTTTTTTTAATTTCCTTTTTCAGTGATTTTAAGTCACACATTCAATGCTAAAGATTTAAAGATTAGTTTTACATTTTTATTTTTTACAGCTTTATTGAAGTATTATATGTATATTAAAATATATATATGGACTCTACAGTTTGTTAAGTTTTGACATATAGACATATCCACCCATAAACCTTTCACTACAGTCAAAACAACGAACATTTCTGTTATCCTAAAAAGTCTCTGCTTCCCCTACTACTTGCTTTCTGCAATGATAAATGTATAATCATAAATTTCTAGGAAAAGAAGGAACTTGCAGCCTTGATAAAGCTGATGGAGTTTATTTTTGTGTTTGTTAATCAGATTCTCACCTAAAAGACTCTTTGCCTTCATTTTAGACAGTTTAAAGAAGCTATGCTATTTCATTCTCCAGCCCTTGACACAATGCAGCAAAACTAAAAATACATTGCAAAAGACATTAAAACTGTTAAAAAAAAAATAGGCAAGAACTCAAACCACAGCTATGCAGGTCTGGTTAGTAAAATAGGTGGACAAACCCATCTATCACACTGTCCAGTAAAGAAGTAAAACTGAGACTTGCAGCTTGGTCCACAGGGCCTCCTCCCTCCACTCCCTGCTCCTATCAGCCTCCTGCAAAGGAGACCACTGGTCATTCCCAAACCCACCATTGTTCCCTGCACATTCCTGATCTCATGTACTGTTTCCAGTCCTGAAGTCTTTTCCAACCTCCTTTTCCTGTTTTATTCCTGGTCCTTCAGGTCCTTTCATCACTGGATCAATCTTGACTCATAGCAACCCTATAGACAGAATAAACCACCCCGTTGGAGCTGCACCAGGCTGCAAAAGATAGCCAACGGCCTCATTGTTCTCCATAGACCTAGACCTACAAGAGGGTTCAAACCACCAACCTTTGAATTAACATCTCAATGCAATAACCACTGCACCATCAGCCTTCTCTAGCTACTTCTTATCTAAACTAGAAACTCTCCTCCCTTGTTTCCAAACAATAGTTGTTAGTTACTGTGAAGTTGAGTTCAACTCCTAGAGACCTCAAGTGTACAGAAGTCCATGGTTTCCAAGGCTCTGGACTTCTGGAAGCAGATTGCCACAGGCTTGGCTTGCACAGCACTTCAGGTGGGTTCAAACTGCCAACCTTTCAGCTAACAGTTGAGTGCTTAACACAAGGACTCCATATAGCAAGTGTCTTTATGTAGTTACTAAATAAATTATTATTATTATCCATGAGGAACTTTTATGGAAAGCATTAAAATACCAAAGAAAGGGGTCAGGCTACCTCAGTGACTAAGACAGATTGCATCTGTCAATGTTCTGTCATCCGACCTCAACTGTCATAATTCAACACTCCCTGTCACCAAGTTTGTCAGTGTCCTTCACCAGCAATGAACAACAACACCCTGATGGGGGTAAGCACCATGGAGACACACCACCCCGGGAGCCATTCAGAGAGTTGATCCAGCTCAATTTAATTGGGGGCTGCTGCCACGCACTTATATACGAGCAAGTAAACAGGAAGACAGGAAAGGGTGGGCTTACAGACGTGGAACATGTGGACTGGATAGGAGAACCTCAGCCTCGTGCAGACTATTCCCAGCTCAACAGATGTGGCAGTCATCTTCCCAGGTGGAGTGCTTTCTCAAGCCAGTACAGCCAAACATAGGGGAGCTTTCTCTACCTCATATTAAAGGTCGTTGGGAAGCTTGCACTTATCCGGAGCTTAGGCGATCTGTCCTGTCCAGAGGCCCTCCCTTCCTCCCCAACATTGCCCAACACAAGATGAACCAACTCCTAGCTTACCCCCTAGCTGGGTTTCGGAGGCAATAAATCACACAAGAGAATGTTGCTTAGTTTTCTTCCTCAGAGTGCTAGTGGATTCGAATTAGCCAAGGGCAGGCAGCGTGATCCCTACCAGGCAGTTCATACCAGCCTATTGTGTCCTATGTGGCTGTTTTCATGTAAATGTGATTCTTACGAGGCACTCCGATTTTTCCTTTGAAGCATCACTAGGCAGTTTGCTTTTTTGTTTGTCTGTTCTATTTTATTTTTTGCATGACTTCTGTTTGTTGCATGAAGAAGTTACACCAGTTAAAAGCAGACCCCAAATGTTTACTTTATACAAACTGTGAGGTTTTAAACTTGGGAGAAGGGAAATTTTCTACTTTTTGCAAGGATATCCTCATTAAGCTTCAGTGAGCTTTACTTAAGCTTACAACCCCTGAAGCACCCTCGGCCAGTCCAGCCTCTACAAAGAACTGGCATATATTCTCATGCTGTTCACCCTGTAGCTGAATCATTTCTCCAAATTCTGGATATTTAATTCAGTACCATTGCAGGTAAATTCCTTCTTAAACACCTCCACTAAGTTTATTTTTATTGTAATCATCAGCTATCACTCGGACAGTTGTAAGGATCTTCCTGTCATTTCCCTGTTGAATTCTTTTATGGGTATAATTCTCAGGCCCAGCAGGAAGCAGGCCATCACCCTTACTTGAATCAGCAAAGGGGTTGAAACAGTGGAGCTTCTGAGTAGCAGACCTACAA